TTTTTTTTTTTTTTTTTTCATAGAGATGGGGTTTCACCATGTTAGTCAGGCTGGTCTGGAACTCTTGACCTCAGGTGATCTACCTTCCTTGACCTCCCAAAGTGCTGGGATTACAGGTATGAGTCACCACACCCAGCCATATATATACCTTTAAAATGATTTATTTATTTTGGCATCCTCTTAAGAAACATTGGATTTTTGCTTGTATGTAAGTGGCAGTGATATTGCAAAGCAGTTAAATATTGGTGATGTGAGGCAAAACAGTGCTTTGAATGTTTTTAAAGAGGAAACTGCAAAATATATATACATTTGGTTCAGATAGACCAGGCAGCAGAAAAGGTAGCAAAAACTGTTAAATTTCAAAAAGTTCATGAGTCAGGGGAGGAAAAAAATATTTGCGCTTGGAATGTAAGTTGTGTATGCCCTCAAAAACTCCCGTGTGCTATTTGAACTTCATGTATAGGAGAAAAGCTAATGGAAGGGCTCGAGACAGGATTCTAAGAAAGGATGTGGTTGTGGTGACTGTAGTGGGAAACCATTGATTAAGTACATTATGTCTTTTCAGATACGCCTTTTTTGGGGTGGGGAAATGCTTGCTTTGAAGAAAAATGCTTTACTTTAAGGTCAGATGGGGTCAGAGTTTAAATGTGGACCCTGGTTGGCACTTGTTAAATTGCGTGTCTTCCCAGTTAAGCAGTGTGATGTAGTGGGTAGGATCATTGTCAGTTAACTTTTGGTGAGTTATCTCACCTCTTTACGCTTCAGTTTTCTCTTATGTAAAATTGAGAAAATAAGAGTATTATCCTGAAAATTTTGCCCTGGAAACTAAATAAGGTTTATGTAGCGGTTGAGATGTTGTACAGAACACAAAAACTCCTTAGATTGAATTCTGGGTCTCCTACTTACTCTATGGAACCTTGCACAAATTATTTTTCTATGGCTTTGTAATTTTATGACAAATAATAATACCTACCTCATAGATTTATTGTGAGGATTAGTTAACATAAGTAAATTGCTAAGGACAGTGTTGGCATACAATCATAACTCAATAAACACTGATTAATATTATAATGCATAACATATAATAAATATTCAATTAAGTGTCTGCTATTTTATTTAACTCCAAGAAGGCAGGGACTGTATCTATTTTATTCACGTTCACCTATTGACACTTAGTAAGTGCTCAATAAATGTTTCTTGAATGAGGAGGTCATTTTCAATCAATACAATTGCATACAATTCCTCAAAAAATACTCTAACAAGAGTATCTACAGATAATTAAAATCAGATTAATTTTTCATTTTTATCACATATAGATATTTCACAGTACTCTCTACCACTTCAAATGATGTCTTTATTATCTTAATCTTGTGGTGTTTAAAAATAGGAAGAATCGGCCAGGCCTGGTGGCTCCACGTCTGTAATCTTAGGACTTTGGGAGGCCAAAGCAGGCAGATCACCTGAGGTCAGGAGTTCCAGACCAGCCTGACCAACATGGAGAAACCCCGTCTTTACTAAAAATACAGAATTAGCCAGGTGTGGTGGCACATGCCTATAATCCCAGCTACTTGGGAGTCTAAGGGAGGAGAATCACTTGAACCTGGGAGGCAGAGGTTGGGATGAGGAAAGATCGTGCCATTGCACTCCAGCCTGGGCAACAACAGCACAACTCCATCTCAAAACAAAAACAAAACAGGAAGAATCCTTGAACAATTTATGTTTTATAGCTTCTTTTTTCAATTCTTTCAAACTATGTTCAATTTGAAGAGGAAAATAGAATGGTGAAGTATAAAACTTTCTAATGTCAAATTACTTATATTACTGAATTGTGATTTAAATGCTGACACCTGGGGGATTTTTAACATAAAATCATAAATTATTTCTTAGAGTTCTTTTTTTTTTTTTTTTTTTTTTTTTT